GTATATATAAATATGTATACCTGTACCTAGTACAGGTACCACACTTAGCCTGCGGCTCCACTGGCGTAATTTATTTAAGTACAATTGCTCCTAAGGTTCGTCGCTTAATAATCTAGTCTATAGTTTAAGGCTACAAAATTCAGATAGAAATATTAAGCCATTCATAAGACTAATGCGTTCAAAGTGTTAGGATTTTCTCTATGCCTAACTGGCAAGTGGCAACACTATATTGTCTTTGCTTAGTATATAAAAATAGAATATGTCGTCTCAGTCGTGATTTGTAAAGTATAGTAAAATGTAACTCTAGAAATAATAAAGTTAATAAGAAGAAATAAAAGTATTAATTATATCATCCACCCATATATACATTAATATCAACATACTTATTATTTATAACAAACTTTTCAACTGGTAGGTATATCTAGTATCTATAATCTGTATACTAATATTACAACAAAACACAGACTGTTATGACACAAGACCAACTTTTATTAGGCGGTTCATCGTCTACAGCCTCTGAATAAGCCATAATTCCTTACAACAAGCTTCAATGGGCTCAGTCTATTTGCAATTTACAGTCGATTCAAAGAGGTCTGATGACTACCCTGATTATGAACTAATTAACAACCTCATAATGTACCAGCAGAATCTATATTGCGACACTTAATTACAGGGAGGGAAGTTTTGATTGATGATACGCGATCGACGCACTTTGTGGCTTTACGTCCTTTAAGTTTAAACGAAATTATGTAGCTAAATTACATAGCGTTACCCAACTTACTTTAAATTCCATGCGAAAATAGTCGCATGCAAAAGCCAATGTGAATGTTGCCAGTATTTTTAAAAATGATAAATTAAAAATTTTAAAAACCCCCTACGCAAATTAATTATCATTCAACGTTTATACTGGCACGCGTGAAGCACTTAATCGAGTAATCATACGCCAAATCGCCTTACATCATTTTGGAAAAGAGCTGATACTGTTACACTGCTGGACCGATATTAACCAAACATAGCTAAGAACTACCGCAAGGAAACTGACTTTCAAATAAAAAACCCGCATCGAAATAGGTCCACCCGTTTGAGAGCTACGACGCCACAGACAGACACACACACAGAAAGGACTTCAAAAAGATTTAATTTCATAATAATATATTATGTATTAAACCTGTTCAGAATAATTAAAAAGTTTATTATTAATTATTAAAATTCACAATTAAATTTAATTTTAGCCTTAGATAAGTAGGTATAACTTAGATATCATTAATCACATTAATGTTATAAATGCAAAAGTTTGAGAATAAGTGAGTTACTTGCGAGTTGCGAGTGAGATGTAACATCTCAACTGATTTGAGTGAAAGTCAGAATGTATGTACATATGTACATAGCTCATATACTTAAATGTAAAGTACATGTGTAAATATATTTTTAATTTTCAGTGCCTCGGGGACATTTTGATATAAAATATGGAAATTAAAAGAAATTGGATTTTCATAGTAAAATATTTACTATGGAAAGGATCACTACACTAATACAATTTAATTTTTCAATATTACGTGAAAACCTTTTTTACCGTTTGAAGCACATAATCAATAGAAATTTTTAGCTAAATGCTCAAAGTGTTATTAATAAAAGCGCTTATCACGAAGATTGATAGGCGGTAAGCGCGAACTTTTTAAATTAATCATCTCGATTCTCGACACAGCTGCCATTTCCCTCGCACTGGGGTGTGCCTCGGCATTGTAAAATGTTTTTGCTTTTAAGTAAACAAAGTAGGTTTATTGAATGATTTTTTACACGTATTTATAGATACTACCATATCAATTCAATTTTACTAAAATACAATGTAAATGAAAATAATTAATTACCTACTTGTCGATCGAACGATCTGTTATATCTTATTATCTATTTTATAATATATACAGTATTTTTTTTATTTTACATAAGTCAGAGTCTTATTTAAAAGGAAAAGTATTTATTTAATGAAATCACCAAAAAGTATACAAAGCAATAGCAATTTTCCAAAAGCGTTAAAACCTTTTTATTTTCTGTAGTTTTAGTAAAAATATTTTATGTAATATACTGTATGATAGAAAATATCGCAATTTGTTTCATAACTAACTGTGAGTCGATTCTCATTATTAGGAGACGAGAGACGAGTTTATTTTGATCGAGATTATTTTGCTTTGGTATAATAGAAAGCAGTAGATATTTGCGGCGCACGCCCGCCATTATAATTTACAATACATTAATATATTTATATACAGTTACGACTATTTACCCAAGATTTATGCCTTTTATAAAGGAATAAAGCCAATTCAAAGTAAAGAGTATAGTTAAAACTACTCTAATATATCACGAAAAGAAGTTTTAGTAAGAAAGTGAGTTATTTTTCCAATATCTCTTTACAAATACGTAAACTCGACGAAGTTCCCGAATAACTTTATTTAGTTGTAGGATTATAACGCGTGGTTTTTCCTCCCCTCACTGGACTCAGGGTGGCCAACATTAAAATATTCAAAAGGACATATTTTCTACTATCTAAAATGTAACTTGTAACTATATTATTTAATTCCCACAAAAAAATGATGTAAATATATACAAATCTTACATAATATTAAGATAGAATATAATTAAAGAAAAACTTATAGGTATATACTAAACAAATATAAGTAGATAATTAATTAATTTGTTATATTTTAAATTATAAATTCATTATCTCTACTGTAGATGATACGCGTGACGTTAGGGTCTCTCTCTCTAGTCCACCACATGTGTACAAAGTTGCAATATTGAATACCGATAAATTCAATCATCCGAATGAATTTTGTAGAATTAATGTAATGGATATATAATTTTACCTATGAAAGAAAGAAAAAATTTACATCTTCTGAGTTTTTTTTTGCCAGTTCTTATAAGGACTGCGACTTATTCTTTTCAAAAAACAAATTAGAACAATACTAGCGTTTTAAATAAAAATGGATATAGTAGGTATGTTACCTTTAAGCGAAAGACATATTATGCCATCGTGGACTTTTCTGTAGATAATAAGATACACAATTCTACTATACATTATTTCGTTATATCTCAAAGGTTAGGCAGCGTTTTCGTTGAAAGCTCCCAGACGGCTTATTTTTTTCCGACACCTCCAACAAATATTGTTATATTTTAGCGAATGTATACAAAAACTTAACAAATTATATATTAAAAAACCTTCCTCTTGAATCACTCTAACTATTAAGAAAAACCGCATCAAAATCCGTTGCGTAGTTTTAAAGATCTAAGCATACATAGGGACAGACGGACAGCGGGAAGCAATTTTGTTTTATACTATGAAGTGATAATTCTAAATAAAATATTTTTATATCTTATTGTATATTTTATTTTATAACATTATATCCCATAGTAACTTCGTAATTTACTTCAGAAATCAATCGTGTTGGTCACTCTACGCGGACCACATGTTTTTCAACACGGGCACTATTCTCATGCAAATTTGCCTCATGCCATTTTTGTGCGACCATCTTGGACAGTAATATTTTCCTTTAGGCCTGAATAATTTTGAAGTAGACAGCACCATTAGCATAGACTTCTGTATAGTGATACAAATGTAATATTTTCAATGGAAAAATCGAAAGTTATTTTTATTTAATCCTTGTTGGCTGTATTTTTTATTTCAATTAATACTTTAAGCACATAGTTTAATATCTTTCTCGTAATTATTTAAATAAAGTTTTATAAATATTTTTTGATTTTTAGTTGCCAACGACGAAGACAATCTCAAAAATATGTTAGCCTTTCCCGTGACCATGATTTTAATATTAACAAGCAACGCCATCTATGCATATTAAATAGTTACTGTAATTTAACAATAGATGGCGGTGTGTCAAAATAAATTGTAAATATTTTTTATACACTCCATAGGTATTTTTAATGAAGTTTTATTCTGTTTAAACAATTTAACTATTTATTACGTTTAATGCATAAATTTATTTTCATAAATTGAAACACATTGTGCAAAATAAAACTATTTAATTTGTTGTTGCATTGTTGTCTTTTTTAATTTTTTAGTACACCAAAAATTCTCCAAGTATAGGATATTATGTATTCTTTTTGTAATAAAAGTAGGCTTATAGAGCCTACTGCATATTTATTTGTAGAAAAAAATGATTAAACATAATGAAATATATCATAGTTTATAAGCAGTATGAAATGTTATATACATATTATATTTCATCATAATTGTTTTCAAATTAATCATATTCAACAAAGAAGTTTTAATAGTAATAATATAATTATAATTTCATATATTTAAGGTAAACTGACTTAATATAATATAATGATTTAAGCCGGACATAGAAATTAAAAATTATAGCCTAATTATTCAACGCTGTGTGCTCTACATAAATAAAAGATAGAGTGTTGTCTCTCTGCAAAATTTTGTTTATGTTTGTAATACTAAATTTAACTCTTATGAAGGTGCACAGTGCACCTATAATAATAATAATAAAAAATGATTTTTGTGTAAATTATTATTAGATATTAATTATTAAGCATACAAATATATTTTAATAAATTACTATGTTTTTTACTAATTTCTTGTTATTTCTTGCAATATATTGTATTGTAAACTTTTGGTTAAACAAAAATAAAATTGTAAATTAGTTAATTTAAAAAGACACAATAAAAATATCTATTTACTTAAAAATACTTATTATTTATTATCCAAGAAAGATATTTATTAAATCTATTTTTGTTAAGTATATCTATATTTGATTATTCATCTATGCTCTATATGATTAAGTTTGTCAAAAATATGTAAAAAAACTGTCACTGTAACTTTCTGACAAGTGTGTTTTATTATTATTATTTTTTATTTAATGTAATATGTGCATTGATGTAAGGTAAATACTTACTATAAAGTCATCAATTTATACATAATATATCATATATATGTAATACGTATGTATATAATATGGATTTTTAAATTCTTATCTTACCTGGCTATCAAGATAATTTTGTGCGCATATACTTTTTCCTCGGCGCTGCCCAGCATGAATACAATATCAGCTGAGTCCTGATCTTCTGCTAGCCGCTGTAAATCTCGAAGTAATCCAGGCAATCCGGCTCTTTCGACGGAAGCGGTACAACAAGTACCGGTAACCCGTCCAGCCATGGTAATTTATAATTACTTTAATACGAATTGTTTACACACGGGTTTTATTCAAAAACACTATTTTATTTTATTTATTAACTTTACACAGCTCTACAAAGAGTATTAATGATAACTGTCTAATGTAAACTATAGTTTGTTTTTGTTGGTCAATGGTCAATAAAGTGTTAGAACGCGTTTTAGTTACAATATTCGTTTTAAATTTAAATTACTAACTGTATTTATATGTCAATTTTGATTTCTTTGTTTATGTATTTTGTCACTTCATTCAAGATTTACTCTGTATGGATAACTTTACGTCACTTCGCTGTATTACTAAAATAACACGTGCTTAGTTCAGTATTGTTGAGATTGAGCAGGTATGAAACAGGTTTTAAGTCCAGCTCTAGGGTTGTCGCTAGAAACAAGTACATCTGTCTTTGTAAGTATTACGGACTTCGAGCTCAGAGACATAGTTTTAGGTCCAGAATTGCAAATATAAGTTCATATTGTAGTATAGAATGGAATATTTAAAACTTAAAAAAAGTTTTAAAAATATATTCGTATAACAATAATTTAAAAAAATGTGTTTGAGACAGCCCTGTATAAGGTAAGTTTTTTTTCTTGCTTTATACGTGTATGAATCTATAGATTGTACACTAAAAAGATACCTATTGACTTTTTTGCCACATAATTCAAGTGCCTCCGTGGCGCAATCGGCTAGCGCGTTCGGCTGTTAACCGAAAGGTTGGTGGTTCGAGCCCACCCGGGGGCGTTTATTTTTTACTATATACTTACTTATATTTAGTTTTATTAAGATTTAAAATGCTGTATTTTTATTTCTATTATAGTGTGAAACAATTAAGTTTAATATTTTTCTTTTGCAAAATATTGATTGACTATAGAGGTTATATTTAAAAAAATATATATTTATATTAATGCTAGAACCCGAAGAAATAATGTCTAAGTCTAGGCGTATAGCATAGCTAATTTAAATGTTTCTATATACAATTTGTAATATCAATACTAGCGACTCACCCTCGCTCCGCTCGGGTTCGTTCCTAGGTACGTTTTGACGGTATATAAATTTTTCGGAGATGAGATATTTTTTAGCAGTAAAAAGTCATTTTCACAGTTCATCGATTTTTGTCCAGTGGTTTTCTCGTGATGCGTTCCCAGACAGACTTCGAAAAACTATAGATTCGGCCTCTGTATCGATAATAATGACTATTTTAATAAGATTTTCCAAGAAATATTTAATGTACAGATTCGATTCAGTTAGAATTTTATTATATGTATCTATAAATTTTAAAAATACATACATATATTTAAAAAATCTAGTCTGTTTAGTAGTATTTTGAAAGTGACTAAATAAAACAAGTGAAATGTTTAACAATATAAGTCTGGAGGCGTTGTCTGCTTACACAATATAACTGGTAGATAAGTGATAGGAGAAGCCTTAGCAGTCAGCACAGCCTGACAGTTCGGAAATTGCATCACTTCCGACACGACGCGATGTGCAAGTTTCTATGCTAACTTGTGATTGTGCACAGTATGGCGCATATTAGTTACTAATTTCTTATTAATTTTAATTAAGATAATTAAATAGGCAAAGACAAAATAGTTCTTTATATTTTTCTCTTCTGTTTGTCAACAGATCTTGACGAGCTTTATTTAACAGAAACTGTTTTTTTTTGTACAGATAGGTAAACTTTTCCCCAAATTTTCTTCAATAATGATTGTGGTCGAATTCTGACCACTGAACGAACTTATAGTTCACATTAATGTATAAGAGTAGGTTTTTAATCTATACTAATACTATAAAGAGGTAAAGTTTGTGAGTATGTGACGTTGTAGGGGGTAATCTCTGGATCTACTGAATCGATTTAGATGAAATTTGGTAAGAAGATCGTTTAAGACCCTGGGAAGACATAGAATACTTTTTATCCCAGAAATCATCCCTTAAGGGGGTGAAAATGGGTATGAAAGTTTGTATGGGGAATCAAACTAGAGACGAACCCAAGCGAAGCGAGGGTGAGTCGCTAGTATGATATATTTATAGATGGTATTTTCTTTGAGTACTTACAAATAGACCTCGAGAGTATAGTATATTCCATTTCTACTTAAAATAAAATCATCTTAAAATTGATATTTTTATTTATTTTTATAAAATGTAAAATTGGCTTCTAAGTCCCTGTAAAGTCTAGTTCAATAAAGTATGTCGCTTATATAAAATTTATATTTTCTTTTTTCAGAGTCAGTTAAAATCAGCATGATGACTTCAACCCGCCATATTGACTACCTCTGGAATAATAGAGTGATTCGTTTTTGGTTATGACTCAATAGCTATTAAAAAAATTACTAGTCTCTCGATCATGACTTTATTATATAAATACATTTATATTTCATAAGACATGATATGTATATAAATGCTTGAAGTTCTACAAAACCACACTATACTTACAAAACATTAATGAAACCAAAGTATCCAAACAAATAATATTATGTGAGTTAGGAGGGAAATTCAGGCGCCATTGATAAGAATTTCTTGACTGACAGTTCGGAAATTATGGGAATAGGATAGTTGTAGACATAATGGTACCCCTAAGTAGGTATTTTATCATAATAATGCTATAATGTTATTTTGTACAATTTTTTTTTGCTTCTTCTTAACTTTTAAGTTTTGCCAAATGTAATTTTACTGTAAATCTTATTAATACTGATTTCATTACTCACTTTTGATAAATCTAATGAATGTCTTTATTTAATTAACTATCCAAATGCATGGTTATATTTAACGTGTATTACAAAAACATTTAGCACATAGAAATGTATAAAACCTTAGAAATTGGTCGTTCAAATTTTCAAATAATATGGGTGTTAGTTATTTAGAATATACTCGAATATAAATGTCCTATATAATCTATTTCATTGAAATTAGTCTTCATTATGTTAGTGTTCACTGTTCAGACACACTTTCATTCAATGTCCAGTTACCGTGTAGGTACTAAAATTACAATCGTATAGGCACTCTAAAAGCCTGTTCACGACCTGAGAGTGTAATTTATACAACGTAAATATGCAACATTGTGCCAAAAATTTAAGTTTTGTTTGTCGCTGCTCTACATGCTACTATGGACATTGAACATTCGAAACGGACAGTGCAAGGGTCTAAGAGCATGACTTTTCCACTCGACCTATCCGACTGAGCGATGTAACATACAAATATGTGTTAAATATACAGAAACAAAACACTACTCATTACGTACAAGTAACTTTGATAATGAATTAATTCCTTGCAAGAATAATGTACGCAATTAATTTACTTTAGATATTAATATACCATTTTCGTTTATTTAAAATTTTATTGATAACTCCACTTCATCGCTGCCATCACAAATATAAATGCAATAACAATTACTAAATTAATTTAAAGTTATATGTTATGTGCGCTGGCAACATATCACCAAAATAACATTGCAATCGGGTGAATGATTTAGGTTTATAGGTACGCAATACGTATAGTTATATACTAGATTATATTAAATTATCTCATACAACTCTCGCGCCCTCTAACATTCGTTAAAAAAACTTCTATAAAGAACTTCCGCCGGCACTTGTCTAACTTATCACCAAAGCAAAAATGCAAAAAAGTAGAGGTAGCTCTACAAACATTACTTAGGCAAAGGTGAAGTTATCCCTATAAGATATTTCTTTAAGACGACCCACGGGCATGACAGAGTTCTATGTAGCAGGTAAATGAAGTGCCAGCTGTTGTATATAGAAGCTTATAGAATATTTTTAGATGCCTACATAAATCTTTTTTACTGTCAATATTTGCGGAATAATATGCTTCTAAAGTCGTTAACTTTGTGCCGGGCCCTTCTTTCATTTTTTATATGGGGTAGAAAATTCTAAAACAAACCATTATAAAAATTAAACATCGATTTGAATAAGATATTATGGTGAATAGATTATTAAGTATGGGATATTACTCGGTTGCAGACTTTATTAGTAAACTGGCGCCAAGCAGAAGTGGCAGTAACTTTGAAAAGTTCCTACTGGCTACTGTTAAACACAAACTTATTGTTGTTGTCGATATAATGAACACAGAGGATGATTTAATATTTTATTTTACTCATAATATAAAAATTACCATAACACAAACCTAATATTTGGGTGTACGGAATCCTCGATGCGAATCAGATTCGCACTTTACCAATTCTTATATATTAAGTCCTATGTTTATCTAAACGATAAAAAAACTAACTTGAGTTTAGCCGTGGTCAGACAGCGACCCAATAAGCTATGAGAAACAATAAATAGCACGTATCGAAGTATTTCTGATATACATTTTATATAAAATAAACTACCACTCTATGGGAACTCACTGTTATTACTTCAAAAGCGATTAATCAAGTGAATTGCCAAATAAGCGTAAGTTACTACGTATTTGTGTGTATCATAAATATATTTAAATGGGAGCAAATATCAGAAAACTCATTTCAAACTCTACCTTAGGAAGGAGTCATAGAATTTCAATTTAATGTACATATAGTGTTAGGCAATCATATTTTAGATGTGTTTGTACAGATGCTCGTAGCTCCGGCACGTACTGACAGATAAACGGTCGCCTGGTTCTTGCGAACGTCACAATACGTTATTGGCTTTCATTAAAGTACAGTTTGGAAAATAATTTCTTGGTTTGTTTTGTTTTGGCCCGCTGACGCTCTAATGGGTGGGTTTTGTAGAGTGTTTCCTTTAGATTTAATCGACCAAGGTTAATATCTGTCGGTGATTAGCTTTTTAATTGTATTAGCTTGGCTGGAGAGACGATAACATTTACTGAGATATATATTATAATTTATAATGTCTATTTACAGCCTAAAAAGGTCTGTTATACTGTGCGTTGGATGTTTTCTATATTCGTGAATATAGTAAATATCAGTATAACTTTGAATACTACACTAGATACTCTATGAAATGTATAGAATAACTTAATACTTTCTTAGATTTACGCGAGT